CAGCGAGGCTGATCGAAGTATAGAAATAGTATGACTGTTTGTAAGACGTAAATTGCACCATGTACAGTTCTTTAAGTATTGCCATGTGATCCATTAATAATACTGGATTTATATTTTACTATCTATAAGCGGGATATATCAAAAATTTAATGAGAAATAAATATATTGTTGTGAAACACATCTGTACTGATTTTCTCCATACGACATCGTTTTGTCGACACATGTACCGTACCGCAAGATACGTGATATGACCAAGTGGGCGCTTTCAGAGTTCAGCGACGTGTCGACCGACTGACTGGCGACGATGCTGGCCACATGTTGACAACGCAGGATAAGTTACCTTCATTGCTGTGTGGGCTGGAGCAGTAAGGATATCGAAAGCAATCTGTCTCGCGTTGTCAACCCGTGGCCAAGAACGCAGTCGGTCGGATGGCACGTCATTGGACTCTGTCATCGCCCAGCTATGTTCTACAGTAATGCTTATCTTTTAAGTAGTGTGATAACAGTAGTTTAGAAGAATTCAATACTTGTCGTTACATCTTGCTTCTAGATGATTTTACGAAGTTACTTCATTAATATAGAAGAGAATCAATTGTAACCCATTTCATCGATCTGCTTCGGTTCATGGTAGGTGAGTCTAATGTTCTTATTTTCTGACTAAAGCATACGGCTCGTATAGCAGTTGTTCGGATGCAAAGCAAACTTAACAACAAGCTTCAGTCTGACGAAAACTGAGGTATTGAAGTGAATATCTAAAGCCTCTTGATAAGCAGTCGGTTTCACTCCTGTTGAGCTCAGGTGAAAGTTAAATGTTAAAACTCACCACTCAGCCCTCAAATTCCTACAGTAATCCCACTACGGTTCTATATTCAGACTAGTAGTCGTGAATTTGCGTAAAATATCGTGTAAAAGCCGTGAACTCGCAAGTTGGCTGCTTTCATTATCCGCGATTTGGCCTGCGAGCGCGCGAGCGAGCGACCAGGCACTACTCGTCCGGCGAGATCGACCAAGATTCAGTGGTAAACAAGGGGCAAGCGCCGCCCGCGGTCGCTCGCTCGCGGACTATGAAAGCAGCCATTGATGCAAAATTATACCTTTTATTTGCATAATAGCACTAGTTCGTATGGCTAGAGTACTTTCGTGTAGCAGTATTGAAACGATGGTAACCTTCCTGAATAATGTGCGATCGAAAAATGCTGCTGAAGTAAAAACAGAAACTTTGATCCGTGACCCTAAAAGGCCTGAGTGTTGCAGTAAATGTTTGAGAATAAGCACTGCTGTAGAGATTCGGTTGTACCGCACCAGGTAGATATTCACAGCAGGAACAACTACTTTATCTACGTTAACGTAATGATTCTCCAGTTCCTCTGACATGCCCCATTGTCGAGGGGCAGCTACGAAGTTCCGTAGCAACCCCCTAACCATTGCGACAAGCGCCAAAGGGCATGTCCAAAGCACTGGAGGAAGTAAAAACGAAAATGACTACAATCTACGAAAAGGGATATACTCTACTGTATTCCCTAGAAAACACTACAATTACAAAACAGTTAATGTAAAGTAAAGAAAATGTTAGAAAATTGAAATTTAGAAAAATTAAGCTAAAAACCATGTAAGTATAGTTAGATAATAAACTACACTCACTGATCTATTTTCAGATAAAAATCAGGGAAAATCCCTTAGATTATAAAGCCATTGGTTTTGCCGTCGAACCTATTGGCAGGAATTTTGTGCATCATATCGTCTGCATAAAAACGCTTCGCCAGTTTCTGTGGAACTACGTCTTTCGAAGGTTGTTTCTTTGAAAAAGCTCCATCCGCTGATCGTGAACGTCTTCTTGTTGGAGCTCTACCTTGTGCACGTGCCTGCCGTTGCCTAAGTGGACGAGTCGAAGCTGGTGCTTGTTGTTCTTCCATCTTTTTCCTCAGGTTCTTAGCGTCCAATGCCGCTATACGACGTATTAGAATCTTCGTTTCGAGATCGGATATTTTTCGTTTGTACTGCACATTACTCTCGTGCACCTCGTCTATCTGTAAAAGTTAATGTTTGTCATAATGACACGATAAATAGTTATGGTAAAGTAAGTGATTTGGAGGAGGAAGTTTTAGGAGAGATGCGCTTATAGTGACTTGTGAGCAATGCTTCGCTCGACTGAAAATCGCTATTTTTCTATATGAGTTGTTTATTAAGTGGGCGGGGTTTGGAGTTAAGGGACGGAGCTTCTTCTTAACTTTTTCTTCGAAGTTTAATTCATCCATCCATCAAGTTAGAGGGTGACTGCATTCAATTTCAATTTCATTCCAATTCATTTTTCACCGATAGTTTCAACCGCTCTTATCTATGGAATTTTAGGGTATACAGAGAGGTTTACCAAAACTATGAGTTCCACTTCGCTTAGTTTTCATCCTGAGATGGATGAGAATTGGTTCATACCCTAAGGAGGTATACGTCTTCGGGTGTGGTGCATTAGGAACGAAATGGTCGCGTCGCGGTGAGAGGGGCGTCGCGCGCGAAGGAATGTAGCAGGATGCAGCAGTAGGTAAGAACTACAAGAACAAAAGTACTAATAGTAGAATTGTGCATAAAATAATGATCGCATATCGACTGAGCTGTATGAAGAACGCTTGAGCTGTAATAACGGCGAATGAGTGGTCCGCGACAGCCGCGTGCGGCGAATCGATTACTCAAAATCGTTCCTAAAGCCCCTCTCCCATACGTCTTCAGAATCTATTAGAACTCAGAAGGCCTCATGTTGGAAGATGTCACTTAGCAAGGTCAGAGGTCATGTAAATGTCGATAATTCATCATTTATCAGCGACCACTACGCCATTTGCAACCCTTTTACCCTACTTTTATCGCTTCACAATCCTTTCCCTGTTTTACTATTTTTGTAATAAAAAGTGTTCTTCAATATTCGAATCACCCAGTCGTATAAAAGGCTGACAAGTAAATGACAGCGTATTCGTCTAAAAACTTCAATCATTTAAACTTAAGGAACTAGCTGTTTTTCAAAGCGATTTATATTTATAGACCAGGTACCTGAGTATTTATGGTCAGTATGTAACCAAACAAATATTTTCTCTTGTAAGAAGGTAATTATTATATAACTACCTTAAATATATGAGTTTGCATATTTGTATACCTAAGCGGTATGATGAAATCCTACGATCTAAATCGATACCGATCGATCGAATACCATCGGATGCATTAGTTCTTGCGCAGAGAACTACAGATGGCTGGGTTAATCATTAGGTGAGTGTAGCGTTAAAAGTTAAAATACCGCAAAATCATGGAACGAATATCAAATTATCAAAACGTACAATTTTAAAATAAGGGTAACAATGAGGTTCTGCACATCACTGATTAAGTATGGTCATAGAATTTGAACTTACACTGGATACAGTATGGTGGGTGTAAGTAAGATGTTTGGAGTAGAAAAAAAGAATAAGCTAAATCATGGAATCCGCTCCTAGCCCTACTGTTAAATACATATCGATCTAGCGGACCACGGATTCTTGGAATCCGCTCTCAAATTCGACCCTTATCGCCTGGCTCAGTCTAACCTCCTTGAAATCTGTCTTGCATTCCATCGTAATTTCACCGGATCAATACGTATTTATTGCGTTACGTTAATGGTTTTACGAAAGTTTTTATGATTTTACGCTCTTACGCAAATCTAATGCCGTACAGAATTTCGCAACATCGTATACTGACAAATTTCACGAGGTTTTGCGAGTAAAAACGCCAGAACACAAGTATCAGAGCGTACCGGCTACATGACTTCATTTCAATGCTGAGTTTTTGAAAGTCCTACTTAAGTACATTTATCCTTTGTAAACTTTTCCTCAACTTGCTTTCACTTCATTTGCGTTCTGTTTCGCTGAATGGCTTACTTCCTACCACCTGATTGTAGATTTAAAATACATATAGAATTGTTTGCAACGGCTTTATAGACGATACAGGATATACAGACACGAACAAATGGTCCCTTTCAAAAGCCCACGACGCCCAAAATGGTCGCAAGTCCATTTATGTGTTTTTGATATCAAAAACGTTAATCGTTTCCATTTTGATTGAAATTTTCCTCTTTTCTCCACTTTTCTAGCAATTGAGTACCTCAAAAGTAATGAACATTCGAGTACATGACCTGCTTTATTCAGGCTTAAATAGAAGGACAAAAATAACTGCTCCTCAAATTTGTGCAACTTGGGTATACTGTGCTTTCATTGAAGTAGATGCTTTCTTTCGGACTATTTTTTCGAGCACTTTTACTTATTTGACTGCAATGAACGTACAATCAGAGGCAAACGCTTAATTGCGCTTAAAATTCTAATTTTTCAAATGACTTCGCAACATTACCTAATGGTGTGACAACCGAAGAGTTCTGTAATAGCATCCAACCATTTTGAGTACATTATTTGTAGATGTAATGATAAACGACAACGATTGCTAACAGTAAGACTGTCTTAAAACTGTCTCATAATGTTATGGACGTATAGAGGACCAAACATTTCAGCTTGTTCTTTATTGTTAGTAAGAGTTTTTGCTTTGTTTCCAAATAGTTTCCTTTGAGAAAAATTCGTTTGGGTTATTGACTATGATTGGTCTTTCTCATCCTTGTCTTCTTGAGCGAGTAATTTCAAAAGAGCTTCAATTGAAACGCGTTTCAACTTTTGGAATTAGGTTTAATTTGTAGTATATTTAGTTACTGGACTGTATTACCCCATTACTGGCCGCTCAAACATGTGCATCAATAAATAACCGGTTTTGTGTAAGTGACTGCTTAAAATTTTACAGCAGTTCAGGCTTCTTACGGGGTTTTCTGGAAGCTTCATGAAATGCTATGAAAGGACATCACATGCTTATATTCGTTAACATATAAGGAGATTTCATGTTTTTGCTGACGCTTGACCAAATTCAGCTTATCTTCGACCTTTCTGTTACAGGCTGTGAAGCGTTATTTAACAAGCTCCACTAATTTCAATTTGTTATACTTTACTTATTGGAACGAAGCATGAGCAGAACCGTTTGGAAGGAAACCTTTAACGACAACTACTCGACACTAGTGCGTGTTGAATAACGGTAGGCAGTTTGATCGTTATGTAGTTAAATAAAAAAGGAAGAGGTAGACGGTATTATGCATAAGCACTAGTGTAGTATCTTTCCATTGAACCCCCTGGAAGCTTCCAGAAAAACCCCATGGAAGCTTCCAGAGAAAACTGAAATGTTGCGAAATTTTCGGCAGATACTTCCGCATAACCTAATATTTTGGATAATGAACATAGAAGTATGAAGGAGAAGACTATCTAAATCAATTGAAAAAATGCTCGAATAATGGAACGTTTCCGAGGAAATTGAAGTTCAAGTCCTCACCTTTTTAGTTAAATCCTCAAAGATTTTTTTAAATGCTCTGTTGACGATGCTTCCATCCCACAGGTTTCGGTTCTAAAGTTGCTTATATTTAAACCTGCCTAGATTTGAACTAGCAGCTTACAAACCTACCTCAATGAAGAACTTGAGCACATTTGCAGGACGTTTGTTTGGTGGAACCTCGACAATCTTCTTAATCCATCCAGTAAGAGAGTCCATGGTGAGCGTGTTCTCGAGATGAATACGGAACAACTGAAGTGAAGGTACTGTTATTTGACTACAATTATCTATGTTAATAAAACTAATGATTGAGAGAAGTGATTTCTGCTTAAATCGCCAGTAGTAACCGGCACGTCGAGGTGTGAGTGAAGCTTGTGGTCAAATTTTTTGTGTAAAGGGATCTGCGCCAAAAGAAGTCGTCCTTGTTCATTTGTGGAAGGTCTCAATAGTTAAAGTACTGCATAATTGTAATAGGTAGGATACATGATACATACTGTTATTCAGGATTTGATAAACATTTAAGTTGAGCTACTCGTTATACCCTTTTACTTTTCCACTAGCTACACCAAGAGATTTGATTTCGAAGCTGGGTGGGCACGGGCAACATATTCTGGAAGTATTAGAAGAGTTGTTCTGATGGAGTCATTTTCCACAATACTATGCATGAGCCTTGTTCATACTTCGCAATTTCATCAGTTTTCGAGCTTTTGCGATGACAAAAATATTTTTTGATTACATTTTGTGCAGAAGTCCGCTTTCTACCATTAGTCTAGTCAAGGCGATTTCTGAGCGATTATGTGTATTGACTTTTTCTCACAAGTAAATTTCCTCATTTTTATTTCAGCCTACCAGGTCGATCCAGAATGTTGCCAAGATGTCATTTCTTCAAATGCTGAATTACTACTATATTTCAGTGGGTATTTCAGTGGTGAATATTTCAATGAACATATTCCAGTGGGTTTCCTGTTTATTGATTACCAGTTACTGAGTCCAAGAGGTAAGGAAAGAAATCGTGCTATGGTATCATATGGTAAGGTGTTTTCAAATGCTTTGGTAGAGTAAAATTATAATTTATTTTTGGTTTCAAATTCTGAGGTTACTAACTGGATCTCAGTTGAGGTTACCCAGTGAACCTATAATTCTGTATTGAACATGCACTTCGCACCTGAAGTTATTCTACACGCATTATTACTAGTTCTAGAACACCATGGTTGAATATGGTAGCATTCAATTAAGGCAACGTCTTTAGGGGGAAGATCACTAGCGTCTACCTTGAACCAGGTTCGTAAATCAAAGATGTGGAGCGCCAAGTTGGAGGTGTTAGGATGCTCCCTACTGCTTAGTGTTCTGGAATGACAGAGAAAACAGTAGCAGCAGGAGAACCATAGTTTCAGATGAGCAGTGGGGGGTTTAGGAGACCACCCATCGCTTTTACAGATCTTATTTAGAAGACCGTTAATCGCTCCTACAAATCCTATCTCAAAAACGACGAATTCAGAATCAGCAACTTGAAGCCAGTAATCTGTCAAGAGAGTTCATTAAGGTTTTGCCGGCTGACACCCACTGACAGCGTAGTTTAGGGGCTATGCTTACCTCAGTCTCCTTCTCAACACGCACGTGTTTGGGACGATACGGTGATGACATGACTGAGAGCGGTAGTCTTCGCTGATGGTATCTGAAAACTATTGTGTACAGCTCAGTTTGCAGCTCCTACTTTGTTTTCAACTTGATTGCCAAAAATGGTCACAAGAGCTTCAATATCATCGAATTCGAAAAGAATTCTTAACTGCTAACTTCAAAAGCAATGAAATAACATGTACTATTCAACAGACTGTTAAATCTACAGCCATCCTATAAGCTTGACTAGTTCAAAAAACAAAACCGTCTAGGACACCCGACCAGCCACCTTGAAAATGGACGTTCAGTACGGCACGTTGGTCCTACAGCATTTAGCGTTAGTCCCGGCTATGGGTCCTGGCTTGAACGATTACACGGGAAAAAAATGCCAACCTCCTTGAATTTAATGGAAGTTTTTGTAAGACTAAATGTCGTACTGAATTTTTGGTTCCCTACCGCGCGCAGCCACCAAGGAGGGCGTAATGTACCGGCGACTCATTGTCAGTGGCAAAACCCGCCCCTTTGCGCAGTATCGATTGCTATCGATTTGAACGTGTGGTAGAAGTGTAAGGCAACGGCAGACCCCAAAAAAACGGGAATATGGTTTCGGGAATCCCAAATCCTCACCTATCTTCATTGTCCATCACTTCTACATCTCATTATTGCCTGAAGCTACAATTGGCCACTAAAATATATCAGTAGCGTCAAAGTAATATGAAGCGACGGGAAATATGCCTGAATTGGAAGCCGACTGGACTGAACGGGAGATTTCCGGCTTCATGGGTAACCCTACCCAGCCCTTTCAGTTTAAGAAGCTCTCTTTTTCTTATAACCATATTGAAAATAATTGCCGTTTCACGCTTGGTATATATCACCCTACCCAAACTACATCATAGGTCTAGGGAGATCTGGTCAAAGGGTATTTGCAGGAGTGGAGAGAACCAGTTATTGGGAACAGTGGTTGGTTTTCACTTTGGCGATCTGCCATGTGAATTGTTGAGGTCGTAGTCGGCCAGCGCAGGCAGAAGAAAAATAGAACTCTGCTGGGCGTGAATTCAGGGGAATCGGGCTACGTTATCCTCAAAAGGGAATTTATTCAACGCTGCGGACCAGCTCGTCTATAACAGTAACGTTCCAATGACCTCAAAAAGACTCGTAGCCAAGGTTCCTAAAGGTTGCACCTATTTTTACCCCAGAAAGTTAAGAGCGGGTTGAAGAAGGAAGACTCCCTCTATCTGGGAATATGTGCCCATAACGGGAAAAGACCACTCAGAGATGGACTTGGCAACAGATTCAAAAAAACCAATAAGAGGGTATGAGGGGAAAATGGTCAAAATGCCCGTCAAGGTCGTTTACAGGGATATGCATGGGAAAGGGTCCAGTGTCGACGCGACCACGNCGCACCTGCCATGTACCAAGTTTGTAGTTAAAAGATGTGGAAAGCTAAGTTGGAGGGGGAGGGTGCTCTCTACTACTTGGTCCTTTGGAAGTAGTGGAGAAGACAGTAGCAGCAGGAAAACCATGATTTCAGATAAGCAGTGGGGAGTTTAGAAGACCGCCCATCGCTTTTCCAGATCTTATTTAGAAGGCCGTTAATCACTTCTACAAATCCTATCTCGAAAACGACGAATTCAGAATCAGAAACTTGAAGCCAGTAATCTGGCAAGAGAGTTCATTAAGTTTTGCCAGCTGATACCCGCTGTCAGCATAGTTTAGGGGCTATGCTTACCTCAGTCTCCTTCTCAACACGCTCGTGTTTGGAACCGTGTTTGGGACGATACGGTGATGACATGATTGAGAGCGGTAGACTTCGCCAATGGTATCTGAAAACTACTCTGTATATACATTACTACGCAGCTACCTCTTTGTTTTCAACTCGATTGCCGAAAAAGGTTACAAGAGCTTCAATATCATCGAATTTGAAAAGAATTCATCAAATGCTAACTTCAAGGGCATTAAATAACATATACTTCATATACTTTAAATCTTCATGCATCTAAGGAGATTATTCAGTCACTACAAAAATGTAAATTCAGTACGGCGCTATGGGCTATCCCTAGTCCCGGCTAAGGGTCTTGGCTCGAACGAGTGCACACGATGTAGTGCACTTTGTTTTAAGGTGAATTTTCGTAAACCAACGTTCTGTACTAAATTGTTGCTTCCCTACCGCGCGCAGCGACCAAGGAGGGCGTAATGTACCTGCGGCTCATCCTCAGTGGCAAAGCCCGTCCCTTTACGCACTATCGATTGCTATCGATCGGAACGTATGGTAGAAGTGTAAGTCAACGGCAGACCCCAAAGAAACGGGAATACAGTCTCTGAAATCTCAAATCCTCACCCATCTTCATTGTCCATCACTTCTACATCTCATTATTGCCTGATGCTACAATTGGTCAATAAAATATATCAGTAACGTTGAAGTAATATAAAGGGAATGGGGGAGTATGAAACCGATGGACTGGGAGGGAGGTTACCTGCTTTATGGGTAACCCTGCCCACAGCCCTTTCAGTTTAGGAAGCTCTCTTTTCGGTATAATCAGATTAAAAATAATTGCCGTTTCACACATGGTACATATACCCAAACTACACCACACATCCAGAGAGGCCTGATCAAAGTATTTGCAACAGTGCAGAGGAAAACTAATTACTCGAGGCTGGTCCCATGGTTGGCCTCCCCATGGGTAGGGGAGATCTGCCATGTGGGTTTTTGAAGTCGTAGTCGCCCAGCGCATAAAGGAATTCTGTTAGGCGCGAACTTGGGAGTACTGGGCCACGTCATTCTTAATATTGGAATTTGTCAAACACTGTGCACCACCTTCCCTTTAATAGAAAAGGTATTATTAAGCTCAAATTCTCTCACTGAAAAGACCCACACAAACCCCTTTTTCAGCCCTGAGGAAGGCTTTTTCTGCCCTGAAAAAGTATAAAACAGGTTGGTAGAAGGACACCTCCTTCTATTAGAAATATGTGCCCATACCGAGAAAAGACCAATCAGAAATAGACTTGGCAACAAAATTCAAAAAAACCAATAAGAGGGCTTGAGGGGAAAATGGTCTACCCGTCAAGGCCGTTTACAGGAATATGCATGGGAAAGGGTCCAGTGTCGACGCGACCACGAGAGAGCACAGACGGTGCAAGTGCCACGTAGCAAGACCCGGCATGGGAAACTTCCGTGTTGGGTGCTCGAATTATGGAGCCCAGCTTTGAGCAAAAATGTATAGCGAACGATTTTTATAGCTGACTCATCAGCCTTTCTAACCACTCGTTTTACCCCAAAAAGGGTTTTCATCGGAAGGTGTGTTGGCACCCTCATGGACGTTCTCGAAAATAATAGGTAGGAATGTTAGATCCATGAGTGTATAAACAAAGGGGAAGCTGGTGGCTAATCAGTTTCGTTTTTGGGGTAGGATGCCCGTACTCGACTTCGTTTCAGGATCAGTATCGTGTGGCGTTACTAATGCATGTGTGGCCTACAAATCTGATTGCGGTAGCCAGCCGACGTACGGGTCAGTGTTTTTATCCTCCCAGACGAGTCTGGTACCAACAACGGATCCCGGAGGAATGGAAGGCTTGGTTGACCTAGACGGAAATCGGTTTCGAGTTCGAACCTGTGACTATGCGTTTGTGATAGTGCGCCACTTGCCACTACATCATTTCCGTCCCAGTATTTGATATGTAGCTAAAGACTGTTATTCATGCCACGGTTGTTCAGGGGCACTCTCAACGATTCTACTATTTGTAACGGACAAAGTGTGTCTGTTGGTTTGTGTGTACGGGAGCTTCCGGAGAAGTGGTTCTCCTTTTTCCGTAACATTAGAGCTCTCAAATTTGGTGAAAGCACGGGCTGCAGGATGGGATTGTACTGACTGTAGATAATAGGGCTCGACTCCGCACAGGGTGAGAAGGACAGAACCCCGCATACAGGAAGCGAGGCGTACGCAGGAAATTTCTCCTTCGACCTGGAGAGTTTGAGTTTGGAACGGTTGTAGGCAGTCGGATGTGAAAAGGACCGAACTTTACGAGGGACGGGACGTGCGCGAAAACTTTTTCCTCAGACCTAAGTTGTTCATATGTAGAAGATATACAAGCGGCAAGATCGAGACACTGATGGTAGGTGGTATGAAGTCCTTGAGTTGGGCTCGCCGCGGAGGGTGATTAGGAAGGAGTGGGTGAGCAGAGCACGAAATGAGCTTAATTTGGGTAGAAATATGCAGTGTTTCGCTTTGCATGTGTGTTTGATCGGAAATTAAACACTCCTGTCCTCTTGGGCTAGAGCGTTCAAATTGGAAAGGATACAGGTCGCAGACCAACTTGAAACAAACAAATCAAACAAAAAGAGAAAAGTCTGGCCTAAAGAGGCTCCTATCCTTTTCGTGTTTGAGTTGGTCTGCCTCCTCTACCTGGGTAAAACGAGTGTTTTGAAGTCATGGCACAAATGATTCTGAGGAATCGAGCAATCATTGCTTATGCACTCTACACTATGAACGAGTGCGGGTAGTTGATTACATATTTGCCGATTTTTACCAGTTTCAAGTTAAGAAATGAAGAGCAAGGTCAACCTCAACGGTACTGCTTATAAAAGATTGAATCATCCTACTTATATAATTGGGTAAGTGTGTCTGTTGGTGTGTTTGTGTGTTTGTGTGTGTGAGTGTGTGTGTGTGTGGGTATGTGTGTGTGTTTGTCCGACCGGAAATTCATAACTCCCGTCCCACTGTAGCTAAAGCATTCAAATTTGAAAGAGAGATAGGCGGTACTACGGGAACAGCGATGGTAAGTGATTGGAAGTGATAAGAACCGATAGCAACAGATAAGGAGCCTTA